CTGGGCACATGCCCTCAACTGGAATCGAACCCGGGACCCTTCAGTCTGCAGGCCGACGCTCTATCCACTGAGCCAAACCAGCCAGGGCTGACCACTTTTTTAAAAAATATATATTTTATTGATTTTTTTTACAGAGAGGAAGGGAGAGGGATAGAGAGTTAGAAATATTGATGAGAGAGAAACATCGATCAGCTGCCTCCCGCACACCCCCTATTGGGGATGTGCCCACAACCGAGGTACATGCCCCTGACCAGGAGCCTTAAATTAACAAACTTCTGTTTTATCCCCTCTCCTTCCTCGACCTCCTTCGACAGCATAACGTGAAGGGGCGAGAGGCAGGAATCTTGGATCAGCCAGAGGCTTGTCACTCAGGTCTAGGACCCTTTAGTGGCAAAACACTGCTCATGGCTTTTGAACCAGTGGCTCCCTCCTGGGCTCGGGAACCACCTGTGAGTAACCGACGGCAATGCATCGAGTGCCGCGTCCAGCCCAGGGCATCACGCCCCCCCCCCAACCCCCGTGCAGGGAGGGCAGCCACCCTCCCCCCAAAGATATTGGTGTGGGGTCAGTTTTTAGAGCCAAAACAATATTCTGATTCCAGAAGTTTCTCTCCTACAACAAGCACGTGTAAGTATTTTAAGAGAACGTGAATCAGGCCTGTGTCCATACGGTGCCATCACCACAATTCTAAAGACAAAACATTGAGAAATGAACCCCCAAGCCAAAGAGCTCTGACAATTACAGGACAGAATGGAAGCTGCCCAAGGGCCGAGGGCTCCCTTCCCTCTCTCCACCTGCTGGTCCTCACGCCATAGGACACAGGCCCCGAGACCCCCTAGCTCTCTATTCCCCCCCATTTACTCTTCCTCCCAGCACAGCGTCACCGTGCCGGCGGGTGAGCTCGTCCCAGGCCTCCACCTCCCCGTGAGCAGGAAGGAGGCGGCCGGCAAGGAAGCGGGCTGTCGGTATCAGAGGGAACCGGCCCCCGTCACGTGCTGTGCACAGAGCTCCGGGGAGCTGAGACACGGTGCTGTCCGCCCGGCTGCTGTGTCCGGCAGAGTCCGGGAAGCACAGAACGCCAGGCAGGTGCATGCGTGGAGGTCACACCCTTCACAGAAAAGGAAACGCAGACGCCCCCAAAGCGCCTCAGAGCCCAGGCCGGCCCATCCGAAGCGGATGACTTCACGAAAATCAAATGAATTACCAGCAGCCCTGAGAGATGAGTGTTCTCGGTCCCACTCTGCAGACAGGGAAACTGAGGCCCAGAAAGGTCAATCAATCCGCCAACATTGCACAGTAAGTAAGCTGGGGGGCTGGATTCAACGCCAGTCCATCCCCTGGACCAGGGGTCCTCAAACTACGGCCCTCGGGCCACATGCAAATACAAATATTGTATTTGTTCCCGTTTTGTTTTTTTACTTCAAAATAAGATATGTGCAGTGTGCATAGGAATTTGTTCATAGTTTTTTTTTAAAAACTATAGTTCGGCCCTCCAACGGTCTGAGGGACAGTGAACTGGCCCCCCGTTTAAAAAGTTTGAGGACCCCCGCCCTGGACCATGGTGCCTGCAGACAGGTGTGAGCGATACTCATCGTTGCAAATCAAAGGCACCTGACATCTGCCTTCAACCTGCGAGAACAGGCTGCGTGCAGCCGGCTGGGTGCTCCCGGGCACACCCCCTGGACCCAGTGGCCACCCAGGCATTCACCTCCGGGCTTGCACGCGTGCAATGTAACTGGTAACGGTGGTTACAATGTTGCCTGTAGTAACAAGATTAGAAACCACCTCAAGTCTAACCCAGAGACTGGCCAAAGGTGCTGATAAACGTGAACCAGAAATAGATGCAAAGTGGGACTCCGGCTGGGACGGGGGACAGGGAAGGCACTTCCTTTTCACTGTCTTCCTTTGTTAACTAATGATTTTAAAAATATATATTTTTATTGATTTCAGAGAGGAAGGGAGACAGAGAGACATAGAAACATCAATGATGAGAATCATTGGCTGCCTCCTGCACACCCCACACTGGGGATGGAGCCCGCAACCCGGGCACGTGCCCTGACCGGGAATCGAACTGTGACCTCCTGGTTCACAGGTCGACGCTCAACCACTGAGCCACGCCGGCCGGGCTGGTTAACTTCTGATTTTGATACCAAGTGTATATACTGAACATTCAAACTCACTCGTGGCACCTGCACACACAGGCAGGGGAAGGCCTGGAAGGATTTACATCAACAGGTGCGACAGCACAGGTACCGTTTGCCTGCGGCGCACACGGCCTTCCCTCCTCCTCGTTAGGGGATAAAAAGCTTTTCTCCACATTTCAGGAGCCGCAGCCTTGGACCCTGGGTCCCGGGAGGGAGAGGAGACTCCCCCTTCAGTCCTCCCACCTCCGCGCTGTCCTCGGATACAGCCCCTCGGCCCCTGTGCACCGCGCTGCCCCTGCCTCCCCCGGGGCCGAGGGGCTGGGTTCCTGCACCGCCCACGAGACTATGATTCCTGAGTTTGCACTGAGCCTTTCCTTTCCAAGAACCTTCAATACATTCCCTTCAATCCTCCCACTAGTAACAAAGTTTCCCGTCGTGGCCTCGGGACATTCCAGCAAAGGTCGCTTGCTTCCTGGCTAAGAAGGGGAGATGCAGGACCAGGGACTCGGCCCCGAAGACTGGATTGAAGCAAGAGGAAAGAGGCTGGTAACCTTGAACTATTAGTCACCAAAATGCTAACTAAAACAGTCAAAGCCCTGTGTTGTGCAAGGGACGGGAAAAACCCCAAATGCAGAGAGGGATGGGAAGGGGCTGGTGCCTGGGGGGAGAGAGTGTTGGCGCTGGGAAGCCGGTGGCACCTGGGAGCCAGCAGGTGAGCTTTGGCACCCCGGCATGGGGGGGGGGGGCAAGGCTGAAAGGAGGCCCCAGCACACCGTGGCGCGAGTGTGGTGGCCGCGCCGCCTCCCCTGTAAAATGGGGTTACTCCGCAATTCACTAGGTGGTCCAGGGACTCACAAGCTTGGCTCAGTCGGCAAGCTCGGCCCAACACCTCCGCCCCCCGCGACAGGGAAGCCTGGCTCCGGGGTCCCTTCCCCGGGGCAGCGGGTGGGTTGGCCCAGGATCCCTATTTTATTCTCAGCCGTGGCCAGGTTTTCCCGCAGGGCTCCCCCCTCTTCACCCCCCGCACCCCCCTCCGTCTTTGTCACCATGTCTCCCAGCCGCCCCCGAGTCCATGTCATCCTCTTGACTCCTTTCCAGAAAGGAGCTCAGGCTGCCTCCCCAGAAGCCGTGGCCCCCCAGTGACTTGGCTGTTCAGAACGTGCTCCAACCTCGGCTGGCATCTCTTGTCAAAATCCCCCCTCTAGAGGTTTTGCCGATTCACAGACCTAACCACTTTCTTAAAATTCAAAACCCAATGAACCTGGGCTGGAGATCCGGTTTGAAAGCAGGCAGACGCCTCCTGTCCGTCTCCCAGGGAGGGGGAGACATGAAAGCCAGTGGCGGCCCCTCGCCCCCTGCACTCCTGCCCCTTGACCCACGGTCCCCAGGGAACCGCGCGAAGACAGACATCACCGGAGCAGGGCTCTCAAGGTAAAGAGCCCAGCAAACCTTCGTGCTTCAGAAACAGAAAGACTTAACGTCTGGACTTGACTTAATGTACCCGCGTCAGCTGCTAATTCTGGCAAATGTACCACGCATTGGAGGATGGTAGCACGGGGTGTGGGGCGCCTTGGGACGGCCTGTACTATTTTTGCAACTTTTATGTAAATCTAACATTATTCCAAAATAAGAAGTTCATTTAAAAAGCAGAAAGACCTTTGCTCAGATTCCTAATGAAGATCATTCAGTTATTATTATTATTTTTTTAAAGTGCCCAACACAGGCCAGACCCTGGGCTACACGGTCGTTTGAAGACACGAGTTTGCCCGGGTCCTCGCTCCGAGGGTTCCCACAAGTGGAGCCCCCTTACCCTGTGACGCCAGGGGACCGCGCGTGAAGGTCCAGGATGCGGCGGTAAGAGCATCCTTCCCAGGTGCGCTGCTGTCGCCCCAGAGGCCACAGCCAGGCGAGGGGAGCCCGGCGCGGGGTAAGGAAGCCCATCCCCCTGGGAGCGTGCACAGCACCTGCTCCGCGAACACCCACTGGCGCAGAGGCGGGAGGGCGCACAGGTGAGGGCGGAGAGGCAGCCGGGGCAGGTGAAGCTCGGGGAAGGTTCCCCCGGGGAGGCAAGCCTTGTTTGCAGGCTTTGGGGACTGTAGGCGCGGGGCCTGGTTGGTGGAAAAAATAACATTCTTGGCAAAGGCATCGCAGGGTAAGGGGTGTGTGTGTGTTTTGGATACAAAGAAATGCAACGGAACGGAAAAGGCTTGGGGGGTGGCGAAATGGATGTCTCCTGGGGCCACCGTCCATCTAAAACGGAGTTTCGCCTTCTTCCCACCCTAAAACTTGGCACGTATGTGGACACCAGAAGATGCCCCTCTCAGGGGGGCGGGGGAAGGGGGCCCCGCAGAGCGGGTTTCCAACGCAAAGGCGTCTGCGGCCGCTTTCACCGAGCCTCGTGCCACAAGTGGTGAACCAACGCGGAGGGCTTCCTGCGAGTCACGAGCTCTGCGTGGGCAACTTGAAAACGCCCCCTTTTCGGAGCCAACCTCGGAGACCTCTTTGTCCTCCCTCTCCTCCCCAATGGCGACTTATTTATTTTAAAGAGGGAAAAGCCTATTATTATGTGGTCCATTCCCTCTGTACATATTTTCATGGCTGGGGTGGGGGTGGGGGAGAAAGCGGGGGCCAAACCAAAGATGAGGCTTTGGGGTCTGCCCCCAAACGGAGCGAACCCAACGCCAACAAACCGAACCATCAAATCAGAAGGAAAACACCGACAGGTGCGGCCGTCCGCGCCCCGCCTGCCCGCCTGGACGCCCAACAGGTGCTCCGGCCCTGCCCGCAGCCGCCGGCGCCTCGGGTCGCCACGAAGTAGCCGCCCGCGCCACAGAGTCCAGGCCCGCCCGTACTCACGGCCGCTCGGCGGTCCGCGCCCCAGCCCGCAGTGCCATCCGGCCCGGGCCTCGGTCAGCGCGGGCTCGGTTCTCACGCGGCCCCGGCGCGGCCCGGGGCGCGCTGCGGCCGTTGGCACCTCCGCCGGGCGCGAGGCATCCTCCCGCCGCCGCCCCGCGGGCCGCCAGCCCTTTGTTTTGGAGCCCCGGCCCCGCCGCGCCGCCGTTAACGGCCTCGGAACGCGGTGCGGGCCAATCAGCACGTAGCGCCGCCCGCGCCCCGCCCGCACACCGCCCGCGCCCCGCCCCGCCAGCGCGCCCCCGCCCTGCGCGCTCCGCACCCGGGAGCTCGGCGGCTCGCGCTCGGCCCCAGCTGGGCAGGGGCGCACGTGCTGCGGGGCGCGCCGCGCTTCCATTGGCCGGTCCTGCGAGCGCGGCCTCGGAGCCCGTCCGTGAAGGCGGGGGCGCAGGGGCGGGCCGTGCGGGGCGGGGCGGGACTCGGGGCGAGCTCAGCGGAGAGCGCCGCGCGCAGGCGCCTGCGGGCCCGGGCTGGGCGCCTACCCGCAGGGTCCTGTGGCCGCGTGGAGCTGCGCCCCAGGAAGCCTACCTTCTCCGCGCGCGTGGACCGGCCGTGGACGTGATGGGCTCACAGCTCCCGGGTCGACGTGGGGCGTGCGGGCCGGTGCGTGGCGCCGGGTTTTCCTGGCCAGACCTTCCTGAGCCCTGTCCGCAGGGGACGGCGTCTTGCGCGCTCCCCCATCCTCCTAGGACTCTCCAAGCCATTCTACCTCTGGATCTGCACCTGGCCCCTAACGCTGCTCTGGAACCCCCAAATCGGACCCGATAGCGCTCTCGGCCCCCCAGGCAGCCCGCCCTCTCTCGCTGTGCACACTTTGTTCCCCAACTCCTGTCATGTCATTAGTTTATTGGTCCCATAACCTTTCTCTATAGATTGGTTTGTAAATTACATAATACCTTTAAGAAACCCACGCTGTTGCGGTCACAATGTGTATAACATTTTCATATATGTTAGCACCTTTAGATCTTGTTTCTTTTGTGCAATGCACTGTACAGATCTGTGTCTTTGGGCGTCACGGGTTGATTGCGTAGAAGGCAGTGGATATTGCCTCTTAAACATTTGTGGGAGCGTAGCCATTCTTCCAGCGAGGTCCTCCGCAAACCTGGCCGCAAAGTGGGAACTCATGACCTGTTAAGATGCGTTTTCCAGAGATGTGTTAGCATCTCCATTAACAAGTCCTTCAGGTCTTCAATTTCCAACTAGGTTTCCTTTTTCTTGGGAATTGTCAGGATTACTTTGTCTTAAATATTAAGCTTTCCTTGTTTTTGCTATTGCAAACACCTTTTCTCAGCTTGTTCTTTGTGTGTGTGTGTTTTAATTTTAATTTTTATTGATTTCAGAGAGAGGAAGGGGAGAGGGATAGAAACATCAATGAGAGAATGATCGGTCAGCTGCCTCCTGCACGCCCCCTACTGGGGATGAGCCTGCAACCCTGCCTTGTGCCCGGACCGGGAATCCAACTGTGACCTCCTGGTTCATAGGTCTGCACTCAACCACTGGACCACATGGGCTGGGCTCAGCTAGTTCTTTGTTAAAAGCAAATTATAATTCTGATATGAGCCAAAAATTTACATACTTTTGTAGTCTGCTTTTTGAAGGGGAATTTTTCTGTTATTGCAGTTTTTTATAAACATTTTTAGTGGCTGCACAATATTAAACTTACCATATGCCTACCTACAGATCTGTGTGCGGTGGTTGGGCACTTCAATTATTTCTGCAGACCCCTTCATTCTCTGAAAATGTTAGCACCATGTTCTTTGCATATGGTTCCTAGCTTCATTCTTGGAGACTTGGCTTTCCTTTACAATGTCAGTGATTGCAATATGTATGTAAATTGTAGGTGACCTTCCAGCATCCTGGCCTGTCAGCTCCCTGGCCCCTGTCCTGCCAGGGTCTTGTCCCCTGCATGGCCACCGATACGAACCCCCTCCTGACCACTGACCAGCGCCTTTCAAATGTTTTTAACTGTGACGACAGTAAAAGAATCATTTTGTGGGTATGAAATTTCTGTGTGGGATAATGGTAATTTTGGGACTAGATAGTGGTGATGGCTGCACAGCAATGTGAATGCAGTTAATGCTGCTTTGTTATTCGCTTAAAAATGGATAAAAGGGCCCCGAGGGGCAGAGCTCGGTTGCTTGGAGTCATCCCGTGCCCTGAAGGGTTGCCTGTTCAGTTCCCCCGGTTAGGGCACATACCTAGGTTGCTGGTTAGATCCCCGGTCCTTTGGGGAGCTTATGGAAGGCAGCTAATCAATGTTCCTCTTTCCCTCTCTCTCCCTCTCCCCCTCTCTAAAATCAATAAAATATATTTGTTAAATGGCTTAAATGACAAATTTTATGTTGCCGAAACCGGTTTGGCTCAGTGGATAGAGCGTCGGCCTGCGGACTGAAAGGTCCCAGGTTCGATTCCGGTCAAGGGCATGTACCTGGGTTGCGGGCACATCCCCAGTAGGAGATGTGCAGGAGGCAGCTGATCGATGTTTCTCTCTCATCGATGTTTCTGACTCTCTATCTCTCTCCCTTCTTCTCTGTAAAAAATCAATAAAATATATTTTAAAAAAATAAAAAAAAATGACAAATTTTATGTTGTGTTTTACCACAATAAAAAACAGTAAAAAAATAAAGGCCCTAGCCAGTTTGGCTCAGTGGATAGAGCATCGGCCTGTGGACCGAAGGGCCCCCAGTTCAATTCCAGTCAGGGCACATGCCCGGTTGCAGGCTCGATCCCCAGTAGGGGGCGTGCAGGAGGCGGCCGATCAATGATTCTCATCATTGATGCTTTAATCTCTCTCTCCCTTTCCCTTTCTCTCTGAAATCAATAAAAATATATTTTATAAAAGCCCTGGACCGTGTCACTCAGTTGGTTGAGCGTCATCCCATGCACCAACAGGTTGCTGGTTTGATTGCCAGTCAGGGCACATGCCCGGTTGCAGGCTCGATCCCCTGTGGGGGGTGTGCAGGAGGCAGCTGATGTTTCTCCCTATCCCTCTCCCTTCCTCTCTCTAAAATCAATAAAGATGTTATTTTTAAAAAAACTAAAAAATATTTTTTTCATTATGATCTAGTATAGTTTCATTATTTAAAACATACTTATTTTATGTAATGCCCTAGTGTTTTCTATACATGTTTTATTTTTTTTTAAATATATTTTATTGATTTTTTTACAGAGAGGAAGGGAGAGGGATAGAGAGTTAGAAACATCGATGAGAGATATACATCGATCAGCTGCCTCCCGCACCCCCCCCCCCCCCCCGGGGATGTGCCTGCAACCAAGGCACATGCCCCTGACCGGAATCGAACCCGGGACCCTTCAGTCCTCAAGCCAATGCTCCATCCACTGAGCCAAACTGGCTAGGGCTATACATGTTTTATTTTTATTAACTACTCTTTGTGGTTTCACCAGGCACCCAGCCGCCACAGCCTGTAGTCTGCCAGCCTCCCTGTCCTCACCTCAAAGCCTCAGGGCTGGGCAGCCCCTTTCTCCCACCGCGTCCTTGCCCGGCAGCCCCCCCCTCCCCCCAGTCCTGGGTGAGCAGTCTGCGTGGCTAGAGAAGTGCTTCACTCCTGGAGGCTAGTTTCTAGGGCAGCGCAGTCCCCGTGGCAACCCTGCACCTGCTCCACCTCCTGTGCATTCAGTTTCCCACTTTCCTGGAAGACGATCCTACGCCTCCTCCCCCGCTGGCTCTGTGTCCTACTTTACTGCAAACTTCCACACCAACAGGAAGTCTGATGGCTCCTCTCCCACCACCGACCTCCCTCCTGCCCCCCGCCACCCCCCCACCCACATGATTACGTCACTCTGTCCTCTCCAAGGCCAGAGAGCCACTAGTCCTGTGCACGCTGAAGGGCCACCTCAGTCACGACATCCTCGTTCTTCTGCATCCGCAGGCCCCTGGTACTGGCTGTTCCATCGGACGAGGCCGCTGTCATCTCAGGACGCCCTGTGCACTGGACGCAGCACTGAGGTGTCGGCTGGGGACTCAAGCCAACATGGGTGAATGCAACAGGTCACACATTTCAAAAGTGGATCAGAATATGGAACCCATGGCCTTGCAGGCGGTGCTGTGGGGCCGAGACTCCAGCCCATGCAGCGCCATGGTGCGTGCTGGCTCACCACACAGGTGGATGCTGAGGGCTCGGCCAGTCATTTCCCCAAGGACTAGCCGGGTGGGTGGTACAGGCTGAACTGTGTCCCCCCCATATGTGTCTACATTTGGAGATGGGGGTCTTTGAAGAGATGATTACATTAAAGTGAGGCTGTTAGGGTGGGCCCTGATCCGGTCTGACCTGTGTCCTTGTGAGAAAGGACACAGAGAGAGGACACAGGGAGGTGGCTGCTGCAAGCCTGGGAGAGAGGCCGCAGGAGAAGCCAGCCCTGCTGACACCTTGCTCCCGAACTCCCACCCAGCCTGCAGAGCTGTCAAGAAAAAATTCTGCCGAGCTCCCCAGCCTGTGGGACTTTGTTTTTTGATTTCAGAAAAGAAGAGAGGGAGAGAGAGACACACACACATATCAATGATGAGAGAGAATGATTGATCGGCTGCCTCCTGCACATCCCCAACTGGGGATCAAGCCTGAAACTCAGACATGCCCTGACCGGGCATCGAACCCTGGTTCATAGGTCAATGCTCAACCACTGAGCCACGCCGGCTGGGTGCCTGTGTTATGGCAGGCCCAGCAAGCGAATACACTGGGGTTTAGTGTAGGTGTCACCTAAAGCCGGTCTCCTAAAGGGTCTGCCAGTCTGCCTCTGTCCACATGTTCTCCCTAAAGCCCTCTAGGGGGGAGACCAAGCAGCCTGCGTCGGTGTGACTCAGTGCAGGCTGCCAGGCTGCCACGCAGCTGCAGGACTCTCGCCTGGGCTGGGGGCTCTGCTTGGCCAAGTCAGGGGTGAAGGCTCTTGGTGGCCCCTGGAGGTCTGAGTTTCTGTGAGTTGCTGACAGTTTCCTTTATGACAGTCAGGCCCATTAGGAAGTGTGCCGTTACTGTAGGCATAGCAACCACAAGCTATTTTATGTTTTTTCCAAATTAAAGCATTTCCAGCTTCAGGATTAAGGAGAGAAAAATGGAAAAGCAGAGATGAAATTAAGTTACTGATGGAAGCGGTTGCCATGGCATCATGCTCTCCTTGGAGTCTGCCAGCTGCCACTGTGATT